CTAAATTGAGAAGATTAGCTGTTTTATCGAAGCTATCTCAATCAGCGCATTGACGCTCATTTATATATAATACAATGTATCACTATAAATCAATATATACAATACTAAAGCACAACAGGCTAGCCATCTTCAAGCCTACCGTCCTCTCAGGTTTGACCTATTAAACGCTCGATCTAGCGAAACCTCTGGATTCTATATGACATAATTTCGCTGAGAAATTCTGCTTCTACGAGGAGAAGCTATTTTCTCAATGCTATGTGGGTTGCCATCTCGCAGCCTATCGTACTCTCGGCTTTGCTCAGTAACATGAGAATTTCTGTGCACCGTTCGATCCAGCGAAATCTCTAGATTCAGACAAACATATATTTTGTTGAGCAATTCCAATCAGCAGCAAGCGCAAAGGCGACTATTTATATACATTCTATCACTAATGATTAATATCGATAAGTTACTATGGCTCTATACATGTCACCATCTTCAAGGTAACCATATTCTCAAGTTCGCCCAGTAACATATGAATTTCTATGTATCGATGGTACGTACATCTCATCATAATGGTTGTGCTCTCCGTTTTCGAATGGTAGGTCAGGGCTGAAATTACGCTTTCAAATGTTTTGAAACTTTGTTTCCGAATTTTATTCGAGGTTTAGGATTAGATTTATGAAGGCTTACGGTATATCTTGAGAAATACTATTCCCTCCATCTTCACTTTTTGGAAACTGGGCAAAGGGGAGGAGGAAAGAGTCAGAATAAGTGTTAATTTCAGTTGCATCATAGCATAACGGTAGTCCTTTCAATTTTCGCGTGGCAGACCACGGTTAAAAATCTTGCTTCTGAAATTTTCGAGATTTTACTTCTGAATATTCTTTCAGGCGTTGCTAAAGAAAAGCAATCTTCGAATGGGTCTCAAAATCGCTCGCGCGAGAACTAATGAATATCTCAGCTACAAAAGCTTATCATCATTGCAATTTCAGAAGGTTAGTTATCGATATCCAAAATTTTCCTTCAATTTACTTTTCTGTGACTGATCCAATGCACCATACAGAGTTTTGGCATTATGCATGCACCAGAATCCTGACTTCCGTATAAGTACAACTGCATTAGAGTGACCAAATATGAAGATGCCGAAATCTCGAAATGTTCAACCAGAACGCTAAACCTTTTTCAAACTTACCCTTCTAAGAAGACTTATCCAGTGGATCATGTAAAATTTCGTCATCAGAAATGTACAAATACCCAAATTTCTAAACGAACGCAACTCTACTAGAATGATCAGTTAACAACGCACCAGAACCCCTCATTTTCCCTTTACATTCGTAATTCTGAGATGAAGCGAGTGAAATTTTGAGAACGCAATAACACTACTAATAACGTTAATGTTCATTTATTATTTATATTGACGAAATAATTATATATGCATTGATTCATAATCGTAACAATCAGAAATAAATGAATAGATTATTTTAGTATGATAGAGTTGGATTTGATGAAAAGAGAGTTAATGCGATTAGCAGTGATTCTGAAATGATAATAAAATGAAACAGTGTGATAAAAACGTAAACAACAGTGTTTGAAAACATAAAACGAAATAGTAAATGAAAGAAGTTAATAATAGCAATATAATAGTAAAGTTAATAAATCAACTAATCAATGAATTCTTCAAAACAGGATTAATCAAATGAATTTAATGCATCTAAACAAATAAAAACACTATATTCGAATATTCACCCATTCACTCATGCATACACAAACATACGCACACAATCCGAGAATTTCTTCAACAAAACCGACGAAACTTATCGGCAATAATGAAGCAGAAAATGACAGCAATGAGATTATTAGTTCAAAACTGACTCTTATCACTGACATCATCATGATCATAAGTACTTGAAAACGTGAAACGAAATAATAAATTTAAAAAAATCAATAATAATCAGATAATCCAATCACTTCCTTGCAGTGTATGAAGTCACCACATAATAAACTATGATACATAATAATAACGCTAACGAAAAATACAACAATAAAAAATTCTAAACCATGCAAGATGCAATGATCATCTCTGAATGATCAGAGCAGATCTCGAGGGCAACTGAATGGTTCAGAACAACCGAATCGACCACTGCTTGTCCCATTACTTTGATTCGATTCTTCAAAAACCCATTCTGAACTAAATCGCAACCTAGCATAATTTCCACAAAACAATAACAGGACGAAAAAGAAACTTAATGAAACTGATTCTGCATATGGCTGAAAGTTAAACATTAACCATATGAATAACATTTAATTACCTATGTAACAAAAGACCACAGTAAAATAAACACTTGAGAATTCATAAACAACTGAGAAGGAAAACATATGATAAAATGGAAGATCAATTCATCGGCTGGCAAATTCGACAACGTTTCAGCGGGATCAACGAGTTGTAGTTCGTTTCAAAAAATTTCAATCTCAACCAAACATCTCCGACAAATCAAATCAAACAAACGAAAAATTGTGAGTTATTCATATTTTTATTGATTGATTGAACACACAGCAGAACAAGAATGAATTATTATTATTAATAAATATTCGGATCGCATTTCAAAACTTCAAATAAAATCAAAAACCAAGAATACAAATCCAAAATTGACACATTAAATGAATGAACGAATGGTGAAAATCAATGATAGAATCATAAACGAAACGATAGAATAGAATTTAAGAAAAAAATTAACCGAAACAAATCGAAATGAAATAAAATGAAAAATAAATTAATTGAGGAGAATACTGTCTTCCCCGTTCCCTCCACAAACTCATTTATATTAAAAATTCATTCGTAGATTTGAAAAGAACTCGGAAGGAGATAACGCAAAATAGTAGTCCAAACAAAGAAAGAGCACGACAATAAAACTGAAACTAAAATAACTGGAACAAAAAGTGAACAAATAAAGGAACAAATTGATAAACAAATAAATAACAATTGAAATTCACAATCCGTCACGATCAAAAATGATCGTGTGAACATTCAAAAAGGAACTCTCTCAATCGCACCAACAACGCTCATCAAACTTGAACAATTGCAGAGCAATAGCAGCAGATCGAGACATATTCAAACAAAACGGTTCAGTGAAAGAGCACACCACAGATCATCGGTTTTCCAATCTGCAGCTTTTTTTCGCAAAAGATACGTCTAAACGGCATCGGATATCGTGGAAAAGAAACGTTGTATAGGAAAAGAGCTCTTCATCATACTGCATACAGTACAAAAATACAGTTTTCCGTCAGTTCTGTAAAAATCGTCCGACAAAACATACACGTATTTTCAAGTAACAGTTCAACGAAATAATCCAATAACAATGGAACAGAACACATCCACCACGTCTGCACCATAACTGTTGCAAATCATAATCAAAAAGCTGCTTTCTGATAAAACTTAGAAGGTAACTCTGTAAACCCGTTGCGCTCGCATCATACAACTTCTGCTCAGCTATCAATAGTTGGTGAGTTCGGTTGGATAGAACGTTGCTAAAAATTTTTTCGCCAAAAAACCATGTACATTTTGCCATTTGGTTTCACAACTAAGAAAATCCTGCACGCATAACCGTCTTGACGACGGCATATGTGAGCGCATATGAACAATAAGCAAAATTCCATCAACGCAACCGAAAATAAACGATTGACTACTCAATCAGAAACAAAAAAAGCAGCAGCAATGATAATGACATCATATCACAAAATGTTGCCAATCGTTTATACTGAAACACTTCTTAAAATATCATGCACGTTCCACCCAAAACCGTAGTTCATGATCACCACAACAAAACCATCATGAACAAAAGACACAGTGACAAAGATCATCGTACAATCAGTACATCAGAATCCTCAGAACTTTTCTTCACTCACATCTATTATCGGAATTTCTTTCAAAAATGGAACTGAAAACAGAACACTGCTGCGTTCGCATCTTCAACGATGAATCAATCTAATAAACGAACGAATAGCCACCACATTATCTATTACATTACCATCGTACAGTAGAGAGCTATCACTAGTCATTATGTCTCATTACGCTTATCCAAATCAGCTTCATTGAAACCAAATTTATCAATCACTTAAACGATAAAATCATTGATGGATGACGGGAACGTGCAACAAAAAATTACACATTCCGAAATACAACACAATCAGTGCACATATATATATTAGTTGGTGTTTGAATGATTTCAAAAAGTTCGTGATTTATCGTTTCATTATATTTTAACATAAATTGATAATAGTAATAACAACAGTAATGATAATGACAAAAATGATGATAAAAGTCACAGTAATAATAATAATAATAATGGTAAGAAAACAATGATAGGAATCATAATCACGATACAAGATTGATAAGGAGAATACTAGATTGATTCGAACAAAAAATACTTTGGCACTATATACCATATATATCTATAAGGTCATTCATTTATCAGCATGATGCTCTTTCCTTATAACCGATACTAAAACAACTCAACAATTTCCGAATCCTAAACCAACCCGTCAGAGAAGTTTTCTTTTGAGATGGAAAACCGATGACCACAATCCAGTTTAATATCACAAAAATGCATAAGTTCTCCGCCAAGTTTGTGTTACATATATGTATATATGATGGATTTATGCGGCTTATAACAAGTACTAATGATGGACGAATGGAAGTATGATAAGTAAAGAAATAAAGCTCGCAGTATATAACTTTGAACGTAACGTACTTCAATTAGCACATATGAATAAGTATTTTAAGGTGCTGTTTTGCTTGCAGAAATAAGATAAACAATAATTCATCAACAAAATAAGCAATCGAAGAAATATCATAGCAATGTCTCTCGATCATGATCAATTAATTAATTGCCTCTAATTTCTTCTTCTTCTGTTCTTCGAAAACGCTCAAATTTCTCCAAGTTGACGATGCAATCAATCTTTCCATTCTTCGTTCATTCATTCTTGTTCAGCCATATCTATCTCATCCAATTCAAATCGATTCAAAGATTCAAATCTTGTGCAATTTTCGACGCAATATTCTTAAAACCAATTGATGTGCCTGATATACGCTTGAAACGTACGCCATTCAAACTCAATCGTGGAAGTTTGCAAACCTTAAAACATGCATAACATATTAACACTATCATTCAAATGAACTACAAGCAACTAATCAACACGATAAAAACTCTGTGTTGGAGAGAAGTTTTCATTGGCTCAGATCACTTATCAATAGGACCAAAATACGAACACAGAAGTGAAATCAACGTAGTGAAAGTCTTCCAGAAGTGAAATTCTATGATCTTACCTCCATCTCCCATTGAACTAGAGAATCTGTGTTCGGGTCACCGTGTACACACAACAACAAATATCGCTCCCGTTGCTCATAATCACAGTTATTCTGATCCAAAACTTTACGAATTTCCCTACAACAATCGAAAAAAAATCACTCCAACATTCATTCAAACATCTCCTCAAATAACTCAACATTCATATTTCTGCCCAAATTATCAATTCAGTGTTATTATACATTTCATTACAGACTATCAATCTCCATATCTTCAAGTGTACATAATTTTCATATTCGCAAATGAGTTTCCAAATCGATTAAGTGCTTTCATATAATCAGTGTTTCATCTCAGCGAATTGGACAGAAAGAAATAATCACTCAACAATCGAATGAACAAATTTTTATCAATAAATACAAACTACTAAAAATAACAATTAAACTTACTTCATCATTTCCTCAGGTGCTAACGAACTTGTCGTTTTCATACTCCATGTGAACCTTAGCGATCTCGGCTTCACTTCATCTCCTGCGCCCGCTGTCTGATTCGTTGCAGAGGTTATGTGCGTGGCGCCGGGTGCGCCCGGATGCGTTTGCTGATGGAACAGACTTCCAGGGGCTGCATTTGCGGCATGATGTTGCGCGGCCGCAGCGAACATTTGGGCCATTGCAGCTCCACCGGTTGATGGACCGATCGTGGCACCTCGAGTCACTGTCGCGCCACTTCCCGAATGGAGTCCACCAGTTCCGGAACTATTCGAAGCACCAGAAGCGGCGCTAACGGTCGCAGATGTTGGCGTGGTGATCGTTGCAATTGGCTGAGCAGTTGACGCAGCTCCAACACCTCCAGTGCCGGTCATTGCTGAGCCTTCCGAAATGCCCATTATTGGTGTGCTGAAACAATCGGTTGACTGATATGAATAGATAGAATACGAGTTAAAATCGTAATGATCGCCGCATTCCTCAAATTATGATCANTTCTGTTTGTTTCTTATACTGTCTACTTATGCTTTCACCTGCGTGAACCATATAACATCTTACTAGCTGACACGAAATTAGCAAATGTGTTGCCTACGAAATCCATATCAAGCACATAAAAATGAACAAAGCTGTCGACTCATCAACTGAATCGCATGCGCACACATCAAGTTATTTGCTTTAGTTCTGTAACAACAACACTTCAAAATCCATCATCTAACCAATGTACTGAAGCATACCGTCGTGTGAGTTTCGTCAATTTCGAAAGAAATGAACCCCGAGGACCGCCGTTGTTCGCTGTTTGCGCACTCGGATGATTCATTTCTGCGTCGCCTTCGTCGTCTTCGAAGCCTGCCTTCAAAAACGAAAAATATTAACTTTTCCTGCTCAATACCGAAATTTTTTGCCAACAAAAATGTCACTAAGATGATCAGTAGACATTATGATAATCAAATCTATCAACGTACCCTATTGTGCTCAGTTTTGCCATGAAATGTCTGCCTATTCCGCGTATGCCGTGGAAAGGCAGAATTTTGCATGGCGGCTGCATTCGGCGTATTTTGTGCGCTAAGCGCTATGGGTTGCCCTCCTTGAAGGGTCGTTGCTTGCAGCTGAAACGATTCATTTGGTGAAGAACTATTTGTCGCATTTTTGGGAACATAACAAGATTTCAGTAACAAACACAACGTTGGTTCCTAACAAACGCTTCAGCAGTTACATAGGAACGACATACCTGTTGCGTTATCGACGAGGTGTTCGTTGGTACCAACGGGTTGCCAGTTGAGGATTTCGTCATTTTGGGACTGCCACTTCGCGATGAGCCGCCACCCATCGACGATGAGTCATTGGCGGCCATCGTTTTCATTATGGTCGGTGGCATTGAAGGACTTTGATGAAGGGATGATCTGCAATTATCAAGCACTTTGTGCGAAAACGATTGGTTCCTGGAGAGAAATCTGCAATAAACTTCCAAACAATATCCAAAACATCGCAGCAAAATCCAATTTCCACTTCATTCTGTACACGTCACAAATTTCATCTCATATTATCAATTTCCAAAAGATCTCTACAACATTCATTAGCTAAATGAATAACTTGAAAGCAAAGAGTCCCAAGTGAAATCGAGCTTACTTATTCTCAGCTTGCAGCTGACTAATTGCATCGTTCGTAGCCGAATTCGACACAACATTCGTGGAATTCGACGCTGTCGTATTACCGGAAATCGTTGATTGAACCGTAGAAATGCCAATCATCGGTATCTGGGTGGTGCAGACCGCTCCCGCTGGTATTGTTGTTGCTGTTGTTGTTCCAGTTCCGACTGCAGTACTTCGCGGGGTAGCAATCAGTGCCGAAGATTCACTGTTTTCATCTTCGTCCTCTTTGATCGAAGGCTCGTGGGGTGGCGTCGAAATTGAACCACTCTTCTAAAATTAACCATTTTTGTGAGTTGCGATCTTGGATCTTGAATTAATCTAATGGAATCGATAAANATCCTTTCAATGCCATTGAACATGTGCCTCCTCATATCACATTGTATCAACATTCCTTATAATCTATCAGATGTAAGCATATCAAACCTGTAGTGGAGGCAACGGGGGTGCATTCGTGATATTCGTTAAACCGATCGAATTTCTCGGCTGGCCTGCTGCTGCTGCTGTCGATGACTGAACCGCGGAAGCTGGAACACCGCCCGTAATCGACGACGTTGGCGCACCACGAGCCGACGACGACCCGCTCATCAACGGTGATCCCTTCGGCCTTAAATTTCTGAACAGCGCTTATTCGTCTTGAGTGATAATCCTCCCAAGTTTTGAATTTTTTTTGCGATGTTTTTACCTTATCGCAGTTCAATCAGTTCCGAAACCAGCAGAATGAATACGGAAGCAACACTCACGCACCAGAAACAGCTAATGCAACACGAGAAACTCACTCAGATGGCTGGAACGTATATCGTTGAGCATCCGATGCTCTTGTAGCCAATTTCGCTAGCGGGACTCGACCTGGTGCTGAGGTTTTTCGTGATCCCGGTACCGCAACAGTACCTGCACGAACACCACTCCCGCCTGTGGCGATCATATTCTGACCATAAGTTTGCACTACAAATATCAAAGATAGATGATGATGAATTGAAGATTTGCTTCTCACATATGAGGACAGGAATATTATCCTCCTCATTCCGAATTCTACTCAATACCGACTTGAGTCGTTCATATGCACATTCTTATGATTTTGTTCACACGCAGCTATAAAATATACTCTTTTCAACTAGTGCATCTCAATTCCATTCCTTCAACAATCTGCTGAAACGAAATGAACGAAATTTTTATGGCTTTCGAATAACCTATAAATTCGTGATTTTGATGCATCGCAATTCGGTTTCGAGCAAAATTATCCCATCAGGTGTCGTGCATCCAATTATCTAGTCAAGACATTTGTGCCAAGTTGTGTGTTCACAACAACAAAACATATCGAACACTTCCGTGAACCACTCAATTTGTCACTAATTTTGCAGTAAAAAACGTACACATATGTCCAGTAGGCTGCATGCTAAGCGCTTGTCGTGTTGTCGGCGTCACAGCGCATTGCCTCAGCGCCACTTGCGCGATCGCATTCACATTTCGGGGTGCCGCATGAGGAGTGACCGTCGCCGACACTGGACCACCAACGCCACCAACCGGCTGATGCATTTCACCCATACCGATGACGGCTGGCGATGGCGATACACCCGAGTTCAACTGCGACTGTCCATCGTTCTGCGAGCTTCGTCGAACGCCCTTATTCGACGGCACTTGTGCGGACATTGAACGAGGCGTATACTTTTGTGGCTGAAGTGAATGCTCAGATCATCTTCTCACTCCCAGTACTATTGTTGGCAATTTACTATAAGTAATACTCTTTCACAAATATGCAATTCAGTTCATTTGATTACTGCATGTGTGATCATCACATGTCTCTGAAAAGTTTTTCTTTTTGAACTTCATCCATCCAATACAAGCAATACACGTTCTTTACTGAACTCTCAGTTAAAGGCTGCGGCTCATGAAAAACGCAAAACTCAATTCTGAACATCGCTCAGTTCGATTCAGTTCGTCTGGTTCAAATCTGCTTTTACAGTTCCAAAGCTCACTGTGCTAGAAATGTTAACATGGACAAGAGTCATTCCATAATCCATTTGAACAAGAGCAGAGAAATGTGGAATGCATACATTGTAAAAATATGCGATACGCTCCGTAGACAGAGGAAGGAAAGAAGGTAGGAAGGAAGGAAGGAAGGAATTGAAGGGTGACAGCAATGAGCGAGCAACGATTTGATCTGACATTTCATGTGAACAGTGACATGGTCATTTTCATGCATAAGTGCTATTAATTGTATATTATTAATATTACCGATGATATTCATCGTATCATAACAAGTATATCAACCACGAATGACCAACAATCACATGCTTACCGACTGTGTGGATTGACCGTGTGAAATCTGAGATTGTTGAGGATTTATGGTATGTGGCGTGACACCCACCGAAACGTTGTGTGTCGATACCAACGCTGCATTACCGTTCACAAGCGCTTCATTACTCTCCAACTGTAAGTATTGTTTGCTTTGCTTCAGCATACTTACACTAGACCCCTTTGTACTTTTAGTTCTCAATTTAGCTCGTAATTATTGCCGCGTGATCAGGAAGTGGTGAGAATTCATAGAATTTCCGATAAAATGGAATTTTCGTTTCACTCGTTATCCATACGACTGTTCTTTGACTGAGCAAACATTCTGTTAGACTAGGATAGACTGCAGAGTTAATAAAAACAACGGACGCAGAAGATAACATGGAAGGAAATTAAAATCTGGCGAGTTCATTACTCCTTTTTCATTGCGAACAGAAATTATGAGTTAATTCTTTTTTGCACATCCTTTGAATGTTATTTTTAGG